GGAACAAATAATTGCAATAATAATTTCAATCAGCTATGAAAAGCTCCATTAAAACAAAATTCATCAATCACCGGTGATGGGAGGAAGTTAGTGCTCCAATTCGATGCTCACTAGCTAGGATAATAGAATACTGTTTAGCAACAACATCCAGCCAGTCAGCTGATGAAACTGCCAGTTATGGCAGAAATTTAGCTGTCTGGGGAAGTGAAACTAGTAAACCACACAAAACTCCAGGCTGTAACCAGAAGGGAGGAACCTGATGCAATTTTACATCACTGGTGTTTTAGGATTCATCCGTCTTACAGCAGGACCTTTCATAGCCTGGACATTAAAAGTCAGAAACTTCAGTGGCTGCAAAAAACAAACCGTGCAGCCATGTGGCTCTCCACCACAGCTTATGCTGGTATTTGTACCAGCTGTACGCTCACATACACCAGCCATCCCCTACAGCCTATGGAAAAGAGGAAACGGTGGCCAAGATCAAGACGCACAGATACAACTCAACAGAGAGCAGCAGGAAGGTTTCCTAATTCTTTGCATACACTTCGCCTCCTTCCCTCACAGCATCATCTCCACCAGTGAGGACAGCCAGAACTGGGGATCACTCCTTTCAGTCTGCTCTACCCCACCTACACCAAACCAACTGCAGCTAACGTCTTGTGGACTTCCCACTCCAGACTCCTGATCTGCCACCAAAGGCACACCTCCCCTCCCCCAAGTAAATTCTTCCTCTGACCTTCATATAATTGTTAGGACACTTGCAAGACACACTTCCAGTTCTAATGGGAGACCCTCTAAAATCATTCTTGTCAAGAAATGAGTAATGGGCCCACAGAGCTTGGGTATCACCTCCAGAAGAAAATGAGAGAAATGCAGTAAAAAATCCTTTCCTAACCTTTCAGACAAAGCAGAAGCAGAGTACAGTATAAATGATGCGCGCAGGCGTATGCAGAGGGACACGGTACTTCAACACCACATTCAGGAGACTGGGGACAGAACCATTCAAGACAGATTTTGTAAACCATGTCACCAACGTGCCAGGCCGTGCTACAGACACTTGGCAAGCATCTTTCTGGAGGGGTGCCACCTTTGTTCATTAATGGTCAGATTTTGTTTGAAAACATAAAGCAAAATCTCCACAAATTTCAGCTGTAATGAAACTGTTAGACAAATAAGGGGCAACTGCTGCAGAGACTACCACTTGGATTGACACAGAGCCTGAATAAGAACTCAGAAGGTTCTCTATGCATCCCAAGGGAGATCAAAGCTGAGGTTTAATGACAAAGAATGAAATACCCAACATTAACTACAGCTCTGACAATTACAGCATGAAGATGCTACTCTACAGCCAGTGGCTTTTCATGTTTGGTGCCGCAATGAAGCAGCATCCAGCCGCTATCACCACGACTTTTCCCACTTCTGACCTGAGAAGTCAAAAAGCCCAAGAGTAATGTGAGCACCAGCAAGGCATACCCAGTAACCTGTGTCCAAAAGGAATAAGATGAGCTTTTGTTAAGCACAGGCCTTGTCAGTCTGTGAGAGAATCACACTGCTCAGTCCCAGCTGCCAAGCTTTAGTACGGGACAATTTTCATCCTTTAGCAGTCTGTGCAAATTCAGGCAGAACACACTCAAACCAGACAGGAGACTGCACCTCCAGCGCTCGTCAATTTACTCTAAAGACCAGAAATACCGATTTTTCTGCATTTATGCATTACACACTCATATACACATGTACACTGAGTCTAAACTCAGTGAGAGTTAAGTGACTGTAAGAGCTAACATTCAAGACAAAAATCCAGTTTCACACCCATCTG